GGATGATCCTAAAATCACAAAAGTGAAGAAGTAAGCAGAAGTTAAAGAGATGTCAAGAAACTGATTACTTTTGAGTCACATGCCTCACCTGAAAGTGTATGAGTACATGTCCAAAATGCAATCCAATGACCGTGGATAGAATAGCAGATATTGAACTGCAGTTGCATATGAAATGGCTCTAAGGATCAACAATACAGGTTAATGGTTATACATCTAGTGCGCCTAACAAAGGGGTGTATTCATAATCATAGTACAGTCCTCAATAGGGTCTCAGCATTAACTCTTTTTTTTTTTTTTCTTACTAACAATGTGAAAAACATTTTCAATAATTTGATCGTATAAAAATAGCAACTACTTCAAAGCAAACAAAACCAATATAGTTAAGAACTGATTGAAATCTAGAAAATGGAGTCGTTAATAGCATATTTGGGATCTCAGCTAAGCCAAACATGCACTTAGAGAATTTGGAGACCATATACAGACCTTAAAATTCCTTCTGGTTCAAAAGGAGCATAACACCATGAAGGAGCACTTTTTCTAAAAGGCCCTTCATATGGGGGTTTCACGGTGCAAGCCTGCAGCACTTAAAATAAAAGACAATAAGCGTTTGAAATTGCCATTAGCCAAAAAGTTAAGTGTTTGAAATTTATAGTAGAAAAAAGTGTCCGGGAGAAAATAACAACACACTTCAGATCTCCTCCAAGCTGGACGCTTATACATGTGATTAATTCCAAGCACCTCTCGGTCAATATATCCCACAGCATTACAAGGGGGATCTAAATTCCCTCTGACACCACAGGTCACCTAAAATTGACATTGCAAACAAATTAGAGAGACTAGAAACAGGAGAAAAATCAGATTATATTTAAACCAGTCGCTTTCTACATACTTTCAAGCATATAAATTGCTAAAACTAACAGGAACAAAACCTTAATATATCAACCATGATATTATAGTGATAACGCGGAGACTGAAAGTACTTCAATTCATTAGAGACTAGAGACAGAGACGTGTTAAATGACATTCTCCTCTATGAATTAAACATCATTGACTAGTTCATGTGTTTTAATATAGAGAGTATCAGATCTGGGAAGGCAACTGGAAGCTTACAGTGAAAGTGATACCAAGAGGATTGAAAACCAAAGACTACAATCCAGTACATAAAAAAAGTGTTAAAATGACATTCTCCCCTATGAATTAAACACTATTGATATTCCCACTGTATGTGTCTGTGTGGTGTGTGAAGTAAGAGTATCAGAGGCTGGCAACTGAAAGCTTACTGTGAAAGTTGTGCCATTATATATGCTGTCTGGGTTATGAACGGTGAATTGCCAGTCTGGAACATAAATTCCATAAAGTAATGCCATGTAAACAGTAAGTATACACGCCCCTACCAGCCTGAAATTTTAATAGATAACATGTTCAAAAGCAGATTGTATTGGCAAGCAACCAGAATTATACTATCACAGACTAACCAATGCCAATAGTACAACTTGAATATTGAGAGTTGGGTGGGTTCCGGATCTCTAGCTTGTGCATTTTTTGAAAATATCTCCACCAGTGCTACAACCAAATATGCCAGAGCAATTCTCTAGAAGGGGTACAAACACAAGTATTAACTCTTTTTATACTCAATTTTATTAGCTAAAAACTTCTCTATCAAAATAAGCAGAAAAAAAGAAAAAGAAAAATCAGAATCACCTGAAGAATGCCACACCACCTTATGTGTTTCATGTCAACTCCATATGTTAGATTGTCCGGAGCATGTGAGTAACCACCTTCATCATTGAGGTCATCCATCACATCAAAATTAGGCATAATGATATTTCGTTTTTCACCCCACAAGGATGTCATATCAGGAGAATATTTGCTAATATGAAATTTAGATTCAGTTATTATAGCACATTTTAGCAGAATAACTTTCACACTAGTACACTACCAATTTTAATGATCAGAAGGGAGTAACGATTATCGAAGTTTATGCTATATTGAATTAGTAGTTCCTGTTTCTTCGTCCCCTCCAAAACTGGGGCACTGTTGGGAACTGTGAACTTAAGTCCACTTCCAAGGCTAACAGAAAATGCTCATATATCACATTATTAAAAACGGAGGTGTAAGACTTAAAGAGGAAATGCATGTAGAAAAAGTTCTGTTTATTACATTACTTCTCTATGTAGGAGAAAAACTAACCTTGTAAGACAAGACCCCAGAAGAGGAGTTTGAGTGTTCTAACTAGCACCTTTTTTACAGCTAGAAGTCTATTTGGTATTCTCTGGACATCAAATAGAAGCATCAATAGATAAAGGACTGGTTTGAACCAAAATATAAGAAGAAGAAGAAGAAGAAAAACAAAGAAAGGAACAGAGAATCTAGGTACTTAAAGCATATTCCGAGTCACCCTATTTTCTCATTTACAACTAACCTTGAGAGCAAGAGGAATGGCCATCCCCACAATGAACAAAAAGAAAGGCATGACAAAATCAGCAAGATTGCAACCATTCCATGGTGCATGACCAATCATTGGCCATTGTCCTCCAGCATCATCAACCAAGATCATTAACTGCATAGCATATTATCAAAACACGTTAAAGCAAAATCAAAATTATATTTACCAATCATAAAAAAAAGTCAATAATATTTTTTTGGTTGGTGGTTTCAAAATGATATTTTTATAACAGAGAAATAAGGGAAAACAATGGCGTACATAAAATTTTCACCTTTAATAAATGCAATTAAAATCGCCATCTGCCACAGTGACATGCTGATACTAACCTAGTCATGCACGTAAATTCAGACTCATAGCAGTTTTTCCATCACGGTATAACTCTTTTGGCTGAGTACTTTACAATGACAAACACAAATGCAGGCGCAGCAAAATTGGCTACGAAGTGATGGCAGACTACAGTATTTTTTTTTTATCTACTTTTCCAAATAAAAGATTAAGCCATAAAGAGATTACCATTTTGTTTTCTATATTAAACTTTTGCTGCTGATATGAAGCCAAACTATATAATCTACCCACATTTTCCTTAACTACATGAAGAGGGGGAACAAGTAAGCAAAATAAGCACGACCATACCTTAATTATGATTCACTAGCAATATATGTCCCACAAAAGTTAAAAAGTAAAAGACTCTTACAATCTTTGTAATTATTTATTTTCTTTGAGCTGACAATCTTTAAAGGAAAGAATCCGTTTATAATTTTTTTTTATAAATTACACTCAATACAAAGTATGACCGGTCATATTTAATATAATTTATAAAAGTTTGTAAATAATTTATTTTTTTTATCTTTAAAATTTTTATTATCATCTTATATTTGAAACTTTTAACATAAATAGAGAGAGAAGTACCGCAACAGTAAGACCCCGAAAGATGTCAAGCGAAGCAACGCGCTTTGCTTTAGGCAGCTTCTTGTCGGAAACAGGCAACGCTTCCGAAACACTGAGGCTGTGCTCGCCTTTGATTTCGTCCATAGTAATTAGTGTTGTGCTTTTCTTCTACACCTTCAACTGCATAAGCTGGTTAACATGCTCTCTCTTTAGTTTCTCCTCTCAACTCTTAACTCTGAGGGGAATAATAATTATAATAATATGGACTGCTTAGAAGATAAGTGTTAGTAGAATCGAGTTGTACATATGGTCATGGTCTTCAAACTAATAATTATACGGAAAAATATACTCTTAGGTTGTTGTAGGAGAGTGATTTTTTTTACATATATCGATTTTCGTATTATTTTTTTTTCTTTTTCTATATTGAATGATTCTCACGTATAATTATCTCTATAACATGAGTCAGGAGAGAGCTTCTTATGAGATTAATAAAGCACTAATTATATATGTGAAAATATGATCTGTACTGTAGCATTAGACAAAATATATAAATGGATTGATTCATGTTCCTTGTATCACATTTGTCAATGAATTGCTGGCCTACCATCTTTTTAATTGTTTTACTTGCTATCTCAGACTATGACACTCGCATCGGAATCTTATCAAGATGCTCAAAAATAATAAAATATTATATGATGATAGTTATACCTATACAGATGTTGATTCAGTTTTGACAGATTTCATTGAATTTGACGCATTATTTATTAGAATTTATTGTGCTTTTGTAATTTAATGCTATTATTTGATGATATATTATTATGTTATTTAATAATATATAAATTATTAAGCTCGTTAAATAATATAATAATATAAAATTTAACATACTGATAATTATATAAAATTAAACTCAATTTGTTATTACTTAAAATATATGCAAGCAAAAGAAAATAAAATTGCACATTAAAATATTACTCTAAAATCATAAATTATTTTTACACGTTCAATATATTTAAATTATCTATAAAACAAATTTTTATTTGACTCCATAAATACAAAATGTATTTTATTTTCAAAAATTTCAAAGTCACGTTCCCATCTTTGGGACTAATTACGACGTCAATGCAGTATTATGATTGCACAATGCTAAAATAGTGGTTAGTCAAGTGAGTTAATTATTACCAATGTTTAAAAATATTGCCAAATTCTGTTTTGTTGCAAGCTCGTGCTATGAAATCCGAACTCTGAAGTTAGGAAACGGGAACCATTAACTAGTCTAGCAATATAACTATCAAAATTAATTCCCGGGCTCTGCCCATCAATCTCAGCGACAACCATTCAACCAAAAAGGAAAATAAATATCAGCAACAATAAAAAAAAAAGAGTTCTAATTGTTCTTGAAGCTAAATCTTTCACTTTGAGTAATCATCAAGTTAATAAATAATCTCTATTTTAGCTAGAACGTTTCCTCATGTTAATATGTATTTAATTGTTTCCTAGCTGAATATTTTTCTTTTCCCATTTTCATTGCTGTTTTATTTATCTTGGGGTAGAGGGATCTGTTTAGGGTGACCTTAAGCCCGAAGTGCCATCGATATCCCCAGGTAATTTAACATAAAATAGCAGTTACATAAATTACTAAAAGTTAATCATACTTCATACACATCACATTACGGGCATTGGTCCTTCCCAGAGATATTGTAAAATCCTCCAATTGTTTTCTGTAACAGATTTATCTGCAAAACAAGCTAACACCGGAAGGAGTGTCCCAGAAGACCCAAGCTATTGTTGGGCTAGAAGGACAGAAAAGATAACTAATGTAACACGTATTTCTAATATGATAGCATAAATACGGTTTATGAGCATCAGCACAGGCAAAATGAGATTGAGACAACAAATCAAGTTTTCTATTGCATGTAGACCCATCAAACATGATAGCTGATGGAACACGCTTTAGAAAACTTGAAAAACTAGTAGATAACTCCAAAATTCTATTTTCAATGCCATATGCAGGTGTGCCTCACAGCACTTTGAGATAAAAAAAAAAAATTCTACAATCACTTGAACTTCCTCGGAGGCTTGTCAAGAAGTTTTCGAAACATTATTATCTGATCTTGGGACTTCGTTCTTTGGCAGCAAATACAATGGAAGAAAAGAAGGAACGATGAATGCAATTCCGAGGCCGAGTAATGCCAGAGCCACTACCCACCAAGCTTTGTGGGGTATGCCTAATAATAGTTCATCACATACTGTCATATCAACAGAAGAATAGAATATAGAATATTAGCAACAAAGGAAATTATGTGGAGCCGTCCGACAATAATCTAAAAAATATAAGATAAATGCAAATACGTATAAAACTAGTAATGAAGCATTGGATGCGATAATTACTAATATCAAAATTATTAATATAGCCAAAAATTACCTATATTGAAGATTATAAACTGCCTCTCAGGTACATGCAGTTTTGCTGGAAACCCCTCAGGTTCCACAGTTACTAATAATAAATGAGTTTCATCCTGAATTAAGTCAACGTTGGAAGAATAAAACATAATAAAATTGAGCACAAACAGACTTTTCAAAAAAATTGGACTAAAAGGCTTTATACTGATATTGGACCTGATTGCTATAGGTCTTAAAAATTAGCTTTTCAGTGTTGAGCAATCTCCTGTTATTGTTCGGCACCACATCTGACTTGTCTCTCTTCAGTTGTATGGAAAAACTAGCGGGTATCTGGTATTTTAGTTAGCGTGTGTCAGTTTCCAGAGGAAAAATCCCCAGCAAAGGAACTGAAATAAGACAAAATATACATACAGAAGCTGGATATGATATCTTCACTTCATACCACATATGGGGCTTCAGATCTTGTAAATGATAAAAGCGAGAGCCACCTTGTAATGGCAAAGTTTCTTTCCACAGCTCTTCTCCAACTTTCAAAAATTTGTCCTCAACCCTATGACAGTGAGCGGTTGACCCCTATAACCAAGTTAATAACACGGGGACATCTGATTTGTAGAGTCCAGAAAATTAAGATGAGGAAATAATTGAGGATTTTTATACACTCACATATTCCCAAAGCAGAGGGTTGGGCCCTTCATGACCATGTGGAGAATGAAAAGCAGAATAAGCATATTGCACATTTAAATTAGATGGACTGATAATGAAGAAGACACCCAAATCTTCAACTCAAACCTGCAAAAGTTTAGGTATTTTAGTACGTTCAAAGTGGTAGAATTTAATATTGCATAGAATTTTTATGAACTACACCACCTGTCACCAGATAAAGAGAAGCATTTTTATAAATAAGGATAAATAAACATATATAACTGAAACGGACTCGAAAAAGCTAAGGGATAGAACAAAAAAATTTCAAATTCCGTAAGAATATTCAGACACTGCTCAAGTGAAGTGCACAAAATGCAATAACAGACAGGATAAGATGTCTTCAGATCACGTTTTCATGCCCCCCCTCTTTCTCTTTTCCCCCAGGGACTGAGAAATCTAGATTTATAAATTTCCACAGTTGGTAGATGAGTTGACTTGTAAGCTGAGATAAGGATGCAAAAATATAAACGACACCAATGATAAGTGGCAGAATTTTGAGTGCTAGAGTTTAGAGAAACTCTACTCCTCAACTGTCCATAGCTGGAGAGCAGAAAGTGCATTATAAATTATTTAGTAAACCGACACTAAAACATGATTAGGAAAAAGAAAGAGGTTATAGTTTGTAATCATGTAATGATATTAAATAAGTAAAAAATGTGAGAAAGTTATACAGCAATATGAGAAAGAATAGTAATACAACAAAGCTTTTTTATTTTTTTATCAGTTTGGGATGGATAAAAAGAGGGACCTTCCCTTTCTAGTCCAATCTCTACATAAACCCGTCTTTCTGTGATTAAGACAAGATTTGATTCTAGATCCCTAAGCCAACTAACAACTTTCAGACAAAAAGGTTTATGCAACAACAATAATAGCCTAATTAACATCTCATGATTGTTTAGTTTAGGTTTAAGCACAATATTAAGCTACAGCAGCTTGGTTTCCCATTTGAATACTTCACAAATAATTAGTGTCTGATAATGCATTAACAGAATTGATAACGTCAAATTGGCATTGAACTGAAATGCTTACAAATCAAAATGGAACCAGCAGAAGAAAACTTGACAATTCTATTACCCATTTTATCAAATATCTCACATGCAACATCCATTCTCTTCAGCCTTACATTTTTTTGGCAATGATTACAAACAGCACAACAACCAAGCCCAATATTTAATTCCAATTTCGAATCCTAAGCACTTTGGAATTATCAAAATTAACACTAAAATCTATATATTCGAGTTCACATTCCCTATTTCCCATTTATGGCATTTGTAAATTTACCACCAAAGATGCTATCCAACACAAAATGAAGACACCAAAACGACTACTACCCTTCCTTTTTTCCGGAAAAACAAACGTGTTGCGGTTCTGGTCAGGAAACAACCAATCTCCTTTTTGATCATCAGAGAAATGCACTTCAACATGGGGCAATCAACATCAACCAAAGCTTGCCCACATGCTTGTACGTTTTAAGTTTTGGAATGAGAACAAGCTTTAAAGATAACGTTTGTTGCCTCATGGAGCACATGAATGTCTGATTTGGCTAAGTCGCATCATTCCAGAGCCAGAGAGAGGAAAGGAAGCCCATAGATTTCATTACTTTCAATTCAGATTATTACAGAAATGAAATGATTTACCATTCATTTCGACCTTTGCGAAAGAAACTATGCCTATGTCAGCCAATGCTGGCTTAAAAGAGACCAAACAACCGAATAGCCATGGATTCTTAAAGTATAACTAGCTTTAATGAAAGATAGATGTACCTGTTACTTTGTGGACACAGATTCAAAGTTCATCCGAAACAAAACCCAGAAAAGTCACCTGAGTCAAGGAGATATTAGCATATACGGATTTAAAAATAAACCCTAACCCTCAACCAGAGCGAGTTCTTAAATTAACAAAGGAATTATGCTATTGATAATATAATAAAGAAATTAACAAAGGAATGCAGTCAAATTAATAAAAATAAAATAAAATTTAATATAATTTTTTTAATGAGTAAAATATAATATAATTTTTAATAAATATTCAAAATTATTAAACAACAATTAACAGTTTTTCATATATCTAAAGTTGTAATAATTCTCTATACATTAGCATTTTTTGAGTTTGCCCGATACGTTGAAAATTATTTTTTTCATTTGATATCAAAGCTATGCATACATGATTGTAAGACCCAATTTTTTTTTTATTAAAATAATTCTAAATTTGCTTATAGAACCTAAAGTTCATGATAAAATTTCGTTTGAAATTTTCTACAATTGATCTTGAAAACCTTGGAGCTTTTGTTCTACGTTATGAGAGTTTTATTACCATATATCATATGCATATTTTCATTGAATATTTTAAGAAAATTTTGAATATGAATTTTTGTGTTTTATTATGAAAGTTTAAAAAAATTCTCAAATTTTTTTCAATCCATATATTGAAACTTTAAATTGCTTTGAGGCTTTTGAAAAACAAGTTTTTAGTTATTTATTGACACAAAAATTGTTTGAAATTGTTTCATACAGTGAAGGAATTTCGTTGATGAATGTATTGTTACGAAATATAGGGTTTATATTATGAAGGTTTCAATCTTTATTGTTTCATTGATGTAAAACGAAAATTGGTTTGTGGATTTTAGTTCCCTTATTATTTTTTCACTGTTTTTGCGTTATTTTTAATACAAAAATAACACATTTTTGTGCCAAGAAAGATCGTAAGTCGTAACCCATAGGCATAACTTAAAAATAACTTTTTAATGTACCAAAAAAAAAAAAATCACTTTTTAAACTTCCAAAATTTCTCAAAATTGGCTTAAAAATATTTTTTTTATATAGATTATATTACAATCTCGTTAGTGTGTTGTTTCTGGGTTATTTTGGGATAAAAATTGCTTAAAAATATGCTTTTTGAGTTTTGACGAAGCTCACATGGCGAAACTTGATTTTGAACAGGTCGACAAGACAAAGGAAGGAGAAAACACTGCAATAGAGGAATCTCAAGAAATCTTAAGGGTTATGGTGAGATTGTGAGATAGGTATACTAAAAAGTTTCACGAAATTCACACCAATAAAAAATCTATTAGAATGCTACAAGATTATTTTTCCATTATTTAAAATCTTGATTGAATATCAACGAATTTGAACGGGCTCTAAAATAATATTTTAAAATTCTAATCGAATATCATGTGGCTTTTTTTCAATCTATTAAAATCCTAATTGAATACCAATGGATTTTTTTGTCCAAAAATAATCCTTTAAAATCTCAATCCAATATACTCCTAAGATTTTAAATTTCTCCCAAAGATAGTCCAAAAACATATATTCTCACCCCACCTGTTTACTTCTCTTTTTTTTGGAGTTACCCAACCCTAATTATCTCTTTGAGACGAGTTGGCTCCCTCCGGTATCCCCACGAGCTTCGACTCTTTGAGCCGGCTATGGGACTAATCCGGAGTGCGGGGGAACAGTGATGGCTAAAGGTTCAGCCCCGTCCCCAAGAATGCATTCAGCGGGAATCGAACACATATCCAACCCCACTAACTCAGCGCCAAATTACCAACACATATCCAACCTGTTTACACGCCAACTAACTACCATTATTTGGTCAGGTTTTTTTTTAAAACCACAGTCATTTTACTTAAAATTAATATTCTTTTATTATAATTCTATTTCTTTTATAATAAAATACGATAACTTTGATTAAAATAATATAATTTTTTATTTTTTAAAACAAATACTAAGCCTATATATACAATTTCCGACAATGGAATTGATTTTATTTTCATTCTATAAACCTGTTTGGCTAATTAATTGGATTCTTATAACCACGCGACCAACTTAATCTCTTTAGTTGGCCATTGCGGCAATTTGATTAATGGCACAGATCAAGGAGTGTAAATTTTTATGGCACAAAGAATAAGGTATAACTTTATTTTTTAACACCCAATGTACTTTTTTTTTGAAAAGAATCAATTTGTACTTTAAAAATCATATTTAATAAATAACTTTTATTTAGATAATAAAATTAATTTTAGAATGCAATATATTTTTTGAAATTGTGTGAAGTTTATTCGTGGAAGTTAAAAATTTGTTTTTCTTAAAATCAATTTTATTACCCAAAATTGATTTTACTCGCCATGATTTTTTTCAACCAAACACAGACACTGATGCGACTCCTGTTTGAATTTTCATACATAAACTGTTTTCAACGTTCAACTATAAACCAAAACAGGCTCTAGATCATTGTACCAAAATCAATGTCAAACCAATTACCTGGATATTTTCCCTTAAATAAACTCTAATGCGTGTTCTGAAAATTGCTGCTTGCAACATTTCTAAGTGCGGTCACGAAAACTTTTTAGGAAATAATGGATAGAAACAAGCTTAACTCTTTACTGCTATACAAATGTTAAAAAAGAATTACGGTACAGTACAACGGCGGAAGACACTCCGACAAAGGGTGCTTCAAGAAGCAAATGAGTGAATATAAAGTCAACCCTAAGAATGAATGACTTTATCAAATTACATATAGTGAACATATAAGGAACTTGTCACCACCGAGTTCGAGTAAACACAACTATTTGTTGTGTGTGTAATTACTTCCCAATGCCAAGCTCTTTTGACATGTCTCTTGTCAAGCTGAATTGCAGAGTATTATGCCATGGAAATAAGGTGCGGGTGACTGGAAGTTTCCTCCGAAGATCCTGCCAATAATTGTAATCGAAAAGCTTCAAATTCAGCAGGTAATGCTATAGATTTAACACCCAAGAAAAGCAATAAATATAGCTAGACCCTCCTATTACCAAGTTTGATGCTTGTACTCGGGCATGATTTAGACAGGTCTTAAAAATGATACAACTAGACATAGCTTCCACAATATATAAGTACAAACCAATAGAATCAAGTGACTTAGATAATGACCACCAAATTGTTGCAAGCGTTAGCAATCATGCGAGACCATATAAGTCGCTTAACATGATACAACAATAAAATGAATTGATCCAGTTGGTAAAAGAATCACAAATAGAAGCATCTTAGAGGTGTTGTTTGGTCTCAGCCATGACAAAGATGCCTAGCGAGATAAGTTAGGCATATGAGATTGCTTTAATGGGAATGAATAATTATCAGACTTTACAGAAATGACATCTGAAACTTAGAGTGAAGATGAAAAATATCTGGGATCATATAATAAAGGGTACCTTGAAAGTGGAATCAGGAAGGTTTAGATATGATGCCTGTCAAGTTATGGTCATTAGTAAATCTTCAGCACATTATTCAAAAAAGAAAGAAAGACAAAGCAAGCTACAAGAAGACAAATTCAGAACCTCAAGAGAAGCAAGGTACTCTGTTTCATGGTGACGAATAATGCTTGATATGGAAAGTGCACAATCTTCAGGGGCCTGCAAATAAAATCAAACGATGAAATATAGTAGATAACCTTGACACAAATATGAATAGATAACTATTCTCTTTCTATAAATCTTCCATCTATACCTCAATATTATCATTTTGTAAAACAAAGACAGTTACTAAAACATTCTCAGGCTTGCACAATGACAGAGAAAACAAGCAAGGATAAGGTACATTAGATAGTAAAAAAAAAAATGTTTACCGACAACAACAAAAAAAGATTGTAAAAAAATAAATAAATAAATAAAATAAACATGCAAGGACATGCACATATAGCTTAAGCAATAAATTTAAACTGAATAAAAACAAAATGTCAAAGTAATGCTGATTTATGGTTAACCTGAAAAAGAGTTGCATCTTTGCATTCATGCTTTGCATCTAACTGCACATTTCCTTCCTCAAAATAATGGGCACCCACCTGAAAATAGGATAAAAATAATCTTGTTAAAGAAGGCTTATATAGTTATCGTAATTCGTAACACCCCAATCAATGCATCAAATATCTACGTAATATTACCTGCAATTTACCCTTTACTTCCACTGTTTGTTGATCATCTTTGAACTCAATATTCCATATTGAACACCAACTCCCATTGCTATACAAAAATGCCAAAGAAAAAATACAAAATATATTGAGTTCATTACATGCATCAATTTTCCTAGTGTGCAACTAGTAAAGTAGAAAACGGTGATCAACAAGAACAGTTGGAATTTCATTCAACTAATTTCACACACCAGAAATTTTGCGGGCTATGCCTAGCAGCAGAAATCACCACAGCAAGCTCAAAATCAGAACCTGGGCCATCTAGATCCTTCCCATTTACACAGTAGACAGAGCAGACACCTTTTGGATAAGCTTCTTCAACATATTTAAGTATTTCAGCATCCAGACTGCATCTGTAATAAATAAAACTGTGTTATGCAAGCAATAAAGTATGAGAGATATGGAAATGGTACTCAAGTTACTATAGGGTCAGTCACTACTTCATGCCCTCAAATGCTAACGAATATAGTTTTTTATTACAAAAATTAATGCCACGAATCTAGTACAGGACAACAACTAAAAGGAATATGAATTAACACTGAAGAAGATATCTCTGCAGTTAATCTACAGTAAACAATTATTACTCTCTGAGTTCACATGGTCAAATTTGTGGAATAATAAATTACTAAAGCAACAGAGAGTAATAAGGTTAATAGAAAAATGAAGAAATTCATTGAAAAGCAGTGCACTCCGCCCCTCAATATCACAAAACATTGTGAAGCTCACATTAGTAAAGGTATATCAGATTCAGATGACCTACTAGACATATAACATTTCAACCATGGAAATTGTAGAGCATTACCGAAATTCTTCAATGTATGGAGATGGAAGTTCCTCATCCATTGCAGGTCTTACCGCTGTACAAACCTGAGACATTTAACACACAATCATGACAATAGGAGATACCACTTAGCAGTAGCACGACTGGACTTTATCCTATTTATCACAAAAGTCATAGTAGGTCGCAATAACAAATTTTCATGATTTGCTTTATCCCCAAGCTTCCAATTCTTGTAAATTATGATGTACTCACAGAAAACGCATGTTCCAAGAAGAAGCAAAAGGTTGAACCTTATAATGCTAGACATCAATACTAAAGTTGAACTCAATGCACGAAGATACAGATTACATTCATTATAACGTTTAATGTGCTCTACATTTATTAAACATGAATTAAAGAAATAAAAAGTAATTAGTATGACAAAGGCCTAGTTTGTATATCCCATTCCTCAAGAAACAACGGAAAGTTAAGTGGAACTATGGCATGCATATTCAAAAACAAAAATCAGTAATGAACCCCCGCTTTAGTTTTTTTATTTTTTTCTGAAACAATATTTAAGAAATTAACCTGGTATTTGGTTGATCCACTTAAGCTCAGATAGAGAGAGGACTTACTTGTTTAACATGGTCAACTATTGCTACTTGGGCAGTCCTAGGATCAAGAAATGCATTCCCTTCAAGCTCGCCAAACGAAGTAACCAGCACCTGCATGCACGTGTTAGAATTAACTCATGGTCAACTATTGATTTGTTATACATCATGATAAAAGCATATCCAGTACCGATCCAATGAATTCAAAAATAAATAAACCGATGAGGAAACCCTAGGAATTAATGTGTAGAGTAGGGGATGTTTGGCGAGAGAGAGTTACGTCTCCGCTCCGATTGGGCAATTGAAGGGAAATCAAGTGGGATTTGTTGTAAGAAGGAAATGCTTCGGAAGCTGCCTCATTGTACAAATCGTCGTCGTTCAGAATGGATTTCACATCTGCAGAAACGATTTGGGAATTGAATTGGAGATTTAGATTAGAATAGATAGCGAATCGCAAAGCAAATGCCGAGGAGGAACAAGAACCTTTTGCAACGTATTGGATTTCTCCAGGGGGAGCGTTGAGGAGGAACCATTTCGCGATTTCTATCTTCTGCTTCTCGCAAAGCTCTGATTCTTCTTCCTCTTCTGCCATATCTCAGTCCAGAGGACTAGGCAGGCAGGATTTTAAAATGAAAATTGCAAATGCAACAACTGCACCTGCACTGATGAATGAAGATCTCGCCTATTCCAGGCCAATCAGAACCGTCCACAACATGGGCTCCACAATAGAAAACATTATGGGCCCAACCTCGTATAATAATCACACTCGATAGTTCGTTTGGTAATTGGTAATTGGTACTGTGTGTTTGTGTTGGTGTGTGATCTGTAAAGTATCTCTGCCATGGCACCCTGTTTCACCTCAAATGATTTTTCGTCGACAATCACGCTCAACAATCAACATTATAGATGATATTGACTCTCGAATAAATTGCCTTAAAACGTTACAAAGATAATCCAACACCAAACAATATTCGCGCTCCACATATTGCAGTCCTAGAATTTACTAGTAGAAACAATTATATTCACGAATGTTTGAAAAGGTTTCAAATAATGTTGGTAATAGATGTTCGTTGTTTAATCCGTCATTTCATTAAAATAGTAAACGCTAGACCTACTAATTTTACACAAAAAATTAGCAACTTCTTCAAAATACAAAATATTCTGGTTGGTTAGTTATCGCTTTCATCACGGAGGATAAAATCGAGTAACCTCTGTACTAAAAAAAAAAAAAAAAAACTGAGTAACCTAAATATAGGTACGACATTGCATGATTGAGAAATGAAAAAAAAAATGTTACTTTTGTCCTCCTCCAAAGGTCTCGTCCATAGTTTTTTCAAACGAAAAAAAAAAAAACCGCTTTCCCAGTTCCAGACCACCATATGATTCCACCCAGCCACTTTCAGTAATCAAACAACAAAATAAATTAGCTATTAAAGTTACAAATATTCTGAGCAATTCTACAACTATTAACTGTTGATCTAACAAAATCTCAGAATTATTTTACTCAAGTACCGAAGATTTGAATATACAACCTCTAGAACTATGTTTTCAATAAGTAACGGAATTCCACTGCCGCAATAGATTAGCTTCCAAAAACTGTTTCCATGCCTTCAAGGGGCCTATCTCTCTATTACAGTCAGCAGAGATCTTGGTTTCATTATTCATAAATAAGCCTCTGGCAGCAAAAGACATGAGCTCCATCTGATCCATATAACCACGCATCTTGTATGAGAAACCTACTCTCCAACTCTGATCCCTATGAGATTGCTGATGCTGAGAAACACTTATATTTGGGAGGACAACTGTATCTTGTCTCTGCTTGGAATCATCATCGACAGACATGAAGCTATCCATTCCAAATAATTCCCAATCAACCTGCTGCAAGATTCCAGATGCTCGTTCCATGCTGTGTGAGGAGTGATCTTGTAGCTGCATTTCTTGTTCAATCGCTATGGCGTCAACTTGGACCTTCAGTTCCAGTAACCGATCACCAATTCTCGATGCTACAGCATCATATAGTCTTCTTCTTGGCACATCCGGGCCCTTTTCCATGTTGAGTATATCATCAAAATTGATTGGATCACCTATTAGTACTGTAACCTAGAGAATCCAAGCATGTCAAAACAATCAGAGAGTGTGCTTAAACTGAAAAATACAAACAATTAAAATAAAACACATCAATAAAAAGTGCCGAGTAATGCAGAATCTAAATACTGTAACTGAACATCTTGATCTTTGAGGAAGTGAGAAACAGATCCAAAGTCAAGAAACAATGAGTGGCGCGTTTCCATGCACCATCCAGCAATTTGAATAAAGCTGGACTAATTTCACTAATTCCCCATATGTTGGTGAAATATTTTCAGAAATGGATCAAGAGTGCGTACCATCTTGCCAATTCTGGGAAAATTTGCGCCTATTGGCATTATCTCTTGCATCCCTGTATGTACAAATGGGACAACAAGGGGCATGCTATCTCCATCCAGGACCAACCTGATGAGGAACATTTACATCAGGAATCATGTTTTGCTCTAACAAATGAAACAGTAGAAATAAAGAGAAGTAAAATATACTAGATGAAAATACTATATAGACCCCATAACCACAAGTCCCAGATGTAAATAGAGTGAAACGAGAAAAATATTTCAGAAACTTATCATTCTTATGTTATTATGTTCTCTGTCATAAATTATTAGTGGTAAATTACCATTACATTATGCCTACAGCACACAAACAGTCAAACATATATAAAATAAATAATATCTTATCCAATCTGATATAATGGCTGAAACGTACTATAAAACATAGACAAACACATAATATAAATCCATACAAATATATCCTTAAAATTCAAATCATATATGAATAGTTTCCAAAATTTTAATGATAACGCGTCCAAGTTTAAATGATCATGCATTGTAAATAAATCATAAGTCTAAAAATCAATACTAAAATTTTAAAGGAGAGAATAAAAAAACTTCACATATCATTATCAATTCCAGACCAAAACTTGGAAAAGGGTCAAGTTCGTAAAGTTTCTGTTTCCATTCAAATTCATCCTTGAGTCTAAATTTATTTAAGCAAATAACAAAAAAATCTGGTGAGTAACGATAATACAATACTACTACATTTTCAGAATTTACTGACATGGTGAGAATAAAAGTTATCTTCCCGTTTGAATATATGTTAAAAGCAATTCGAGAGAAAAGATAACAACAAATAAATTAATGAATAATTTCAGAAACTCCATCATCTGCAGTTTAATCTAAGTCGAGCGAAAAAAATGATGATATTGAAAAAATTAAAAGAACAGAAAAATAACATTAATGACTAATTGACTAATTTCAAAGTATTAAGGACAAAACTAAAAATCAGGTCAATATTTAGATACAGAACTTGTACTTTTGCGATTCAGAAGTTATCAATAGAACAGTTTCAAAACTTTCTAGAGCACAAACTATTTCTTCAGTCAACAAGATTTATGATGCTCTAAAGAATAAGAAAATAATTTTGGTATGAAACAAGCCAAACTTTTGGGTTAGGATTCTAATGCAAAATATTATGGAAGATTTTTACCTCCCAACACCTCTCTTGGAAGAGCCCAAAGTTTTTCCACCATCCCGGGAGCGACTACCTTCTGGGAATATGTGGACCCAACCACCATGGTTCAGTTTTGAAATGGCCTTGTCCATTCCCTACAGCAGGAAGTAAATCATCCATAAGTAGAGAAGCTCCAGTTTGGAGAAGCCAGAGACAAATGGAAGGATAAGAAAAGACCGATTCAAAATTATTGAGACAGAGATACTCATTTAATAATACCACAAAACCCTCAGAATGGTTAGGACATGAAGGACTTACAAAATCGTTTTCAGGACAGAACAAGAAGATAAATTGAATAATCCAAGTCATTGCAGAGTAATACAATTAAAAAAAAAAAAAAAAGGAACTGTGAGGTTTTCACCAAAAGCCACAAATATCACCAGAAGTTAACTAATATCATAGACTGGAAATCCTTGAATTAGATGACGAGATTTAGAAAATCACTCACCAAACATTAACAAATATTGTTAAAGGTTATTAATGATTGTCTGCAGAATCCATACCTCCTGATAAATTCCATCACCCCGAGAAACTGGCAAGACTTTGACAGATCGAAAGAATGCAGATGTTGCAGGGTTTTTAAAACATCTATCAGTTGCACAAAGTGTCCATCTTAAATTCTTAGCATCCAAAAGAACTTTTGGAGGAAGGAGCGCAGCAATAACAAGTGGATCATCCATGGAGGCAACATGATTGCTGACCTGAAAAGCAATCCCCAGTCAAAGAATTAAATCCACAGAGACTCCTTTACGTGATGCATAGCTTTGGAAGAGGATGTACCGTGAGAAGAGGTTTGCCTTTAGGTCTTTGCAACAACGCAGAGTGTAGTTTTTCTAAACCATACACCTGTTCTTCCATACATAACATACAGGAGTCAGATTAAATATCAGAAGGAACATCAACAGTAAAAGGAACAGCTTGCATATCATACCTGAACACGGTTTAATCCGTTCATAAACACGTGACAGACATTTCCAAGAACAGGAACAGCAACAGCTTGCATCATACGAACAAGAGTTGAATCTTCTTCAGAACTGAAATCCTTAGACACTATAGATATATAGGCAAAAATTCATCGAGTGATAAATCTAGCCAATGCCTATTTTCTTGACATTTGAAGAAAATATTAAGATAATATACGGAATAGAAAATTAATCATGCAAGAACAAATGCCGAATATAAAGCAACAAGAGTAGGAATTGATTGAGTACCTCGTTTGCGATAGAAAGAGGTAGAAGAAGGCAAGGAATCCCTACGAAAATCACGAAATCGGCCCAGCCAGCGCTGAATGGTGGAGGAGAAGTAACCGTCAGCGTCAGCAGCTGGGATGAACATGTGGTGGTTGTGGCGACGGCGCCAATGGCGGTCGACGGCGACTCTGAAGCGGTCTCTGAGCTGCAGCTGCAGAGATCGAACCTTGCTCTTCCAAACATCACCGCGATCAAGACGGTACATCGGAAAATAAAACGGGAAGAGAGAGAAATCTCAAGAAAAGAAAATAATGGATTCTTGCAGTTACTTGCAGCAAAGCGCGAGTGTAGAGCGAGAAAACAATGGGTTGCAGCAAATTCCACCACGCTTCTTAACTTTTCTTTCTGTAGGGTTCCCCCACGCCCAAGTCTAGAGCATTCCCACCCTAATGTATCAGGAAATTTAAGTTTGAGCAAAGAGCCTAACAAAAAATACGTTCGAATCTTATTCCTTATAAAAATAAATTAATTACTTAGTCTTTAATAAATTTAAGATAGATTTATTTTAATTTTTTTTGAGGAATTAATATGAATCTTTTTTAAATCTGTGAAGGACTACAATTTCAACTAAATAAGTCCACTTTAAATTTATTAGACACTACCTAACTAATTTATTTTTGTAAGAGATTAAAGTAAAATCGTATTTTTTGTTAAGAATTAAAAAGTGTATTCACTCTTTCAGTTTTCATAAATTTTGTGATTATCTCTTTAATGATATATTTTACAAACATTGCTAATTTTAATAGAGTCTCGGCTATTTAACTCTCTGATGATATATTTGCACAAATATATCGCAGATTTTAATAAGATCTCAGCAGTTTAACTAATTTATTTATCTAAAGGACCCACTCCAACTTAGCATGATACGTCACACGTCACATGAGAGTTTCAGTCGTTCCTATCAAGAATGTAAGTTTTCAAGATGAATACAATCTCATATTATAAAAGATTTGTTATCTCCTCTCCTAAATATAAAATATTTCTTGGGAGTGGTACTTCTACTTCAGTAGAAATTTGGGGTTCTTGACAAGTATGAATCTGACTTGGCATAAAGGATTTAAGAGAGTCTTTGTGGAGGGTGACTCCAAGGTGACTTTGGAATTTATAAGAAAAGGATGTGACGTAAGTCATCCTCTTTATGCTTTAATCATCCGAGCTCGTAACATGCCTCAAAGAGACTGGATTATTCAGCTTAGTCATACTTATAGAGAAGGCAATTTTGTTGCTGATTGGCTTGCTACTCATGCACCTCATCAAGATGGACAGCTGATTGTGCTGGATGTCCCTCCAACAGCTTGTTTGGAATTGTTTCGTAATAACTTGAGAAGAGTTAGTCTCCCAAGATTGTACTCAATATAGGGCTTTTTTTGATGTTGTTTTAGTTTTCATTGTATTTCCAAAAAAAAAAAAAAAAAATCCTTCTTATGCTACATGTGATAAATTTCTCTCCTACATACTCTTCGATAATAATGTCATCATTTTCTTTTCTTTTCTTTTTATTTTTCAGGTGACAGAACTTACAAATTTATCTCTATGACATGAAATAACTTATTTCCTTTAACATGAGATTAATAAAACTTTTTTTAATATATAAATTAAAAATATATATTATTCCATGTAATATGAAAAAAAAATATTCCTTATTATTTCCTATTTTAAAAATTTGAATCTTACTAGAAAAATAAAATTAGAATCTTCGGTTTGGGCCTCGAGTAATTTATTTTGGGTTTAAAAATGTGCACATTTTAAATTAAAAAAAAAAAAAAAAACAACAACAACAACAACCAACAAACAAATGGAGAGTTTCATAGTCCGGTGACTCCGGTCCTGTGTCGTTTTCCTCTTAGTCCGGTCAAATCAATCATGACCGCTGAGGGACTACGCAAAATAAATTAGGGAGCGCTAGAGCTCAAGTAACATACGTAACACCAGTCATGTTAGAAAATTTGGGGTATTGAAGTGCGTAAAGTTATACGCCTAATTAAAAATAAAATAAAATTGCATGAGCATATACAATAATTGAGCATAGCTATCAATTGACCCATCAAATTGGAGCAAATCTGCCATGCAACCCATTATTCGTGTAAGCTTGGGCATCTTCATTTATATAACAAATCCGGTGTCCATTGTGAAGTGAAACCCTGTCAAAAGCTTGGGCATCAGCATATAAATATTTGATAATTTCGACTTTCAGATCCTACATTCAAGTAGTTCACATCAACAGCAACCTCCCCAAGATCATCTACGAGGAAAAAAAGAGTGATGAGACAATAAATTCATCCTTTTTGAAAAAAATAAAAATAAAAATATTCAAGCTAAAAAATCAGCAGTAAAGAAAAGAAATGGAAACCAAAACCTTCATATATAGTCCTTGCAAAATTTACATAATCAGGTATTAGATCTCTGTATATGATTCCATCAGGACGAGCATCCAGCACTACCAGAACACCTGTGCAATCGATTTTTTAAGCTATAAGTTAATTACCCAAGCCTAGAAAAGTTGGTAACCCAGTATCCAGTTTGAGTTCAAATAAACACACAAAAATTGTTGAACTGTTTTTTATTTTATAATAAAGTAGGACTGAAGATCTCTTTGATTGCTTATAAACAGCCATCTAGCATGACAAATAACATGAAATAATTATATCAATGTCAATGTAATGCATGAAGGACACAGAAACGAAGGAAAAAAGGCCAGAAAGCGATTGCTTGAACTTCAAACCGTTTGTGCGTGACACATGCAGAAGGGAAAAAAATAAAAAACTACTACAGAAACAAATCAGAGCCTGTCCACCATCATACAAAACCAGAGCTCTTCAAAAGAGTTGTTCCACAATTCAAAACATGATGTATGACATCGGCTCCACATTTTACAGGAAAATCAGCGCAATGGTTTTGCTTCACATAGTACATTGACAATGGTGACAGACCATTGCCATTGAAAAGTGCGAACATTACGTATCCCAGCTGCATGCCAATGAAAGGCAATGCACACATTTTCTATGATGTGCACAGCTTTAACTCAGTCAAATTCAATTAGGAAAGCTCACAATCCATGTCCCCAAGCAACCAAAAGAAGACCTTTCTTGATAGCCTTATACCTGCTTGAATATTGGACACATGATCATCGAAGCTGGAAAAACCAAACACCAAAAGGCAGCCACCAAAACCTACCCTTCGTGTATTACCGAGGGAACTACGTCTAAATGCAGCCACCAAGTGGTCAAGAGTTTGATCCTTGACGCCCTCATTCTTTTAAATAAAAGTTGAATTTCAACATAAAGTAAATGAGCATGTGTATTATCCATGCTTCAGGCCCAAAGGGCTCTCATGAGAGGATGTGTTTGAAATATAATAAAATTATTCATTAGTCTTTACCTAACAGCTTAAGACTTTTGAAATAGTTGATTCTTGACAAAGCCATATAAGAACATTATAAACTTACAGTTGATTTCTAATGTGTGCTTTACCAAAGATTTGGGTTGTTATCTGGGTATCACAGTTATCCATGAAAAAGTTAAGGTGTCTCAAAATATCATTAGTTTAATGCAGTAAGAGTTAAAAGGACTCTCTGCAAGTAACCACAAGAGGGTATTAAAGACTATGCAATGTGGTAATAGGAATCTCTACAAAGAATCCCATTTCTCTTTTACACTAAAAAATTAGGCTTCATAAGCCAACTACTCTGATTAGTTTAACACAGGAAGCTATATTTTCCAAGTTATCAAGTGCCACGACATCTAATAAATTCAAAAACCAAAAAGAACAATTCAGCTTCAGGCTCATGCACCAAACCAAAGGTATCACTGTTAGGATTTTGAGAGGTCACAAATAATAATAATCCAAAATTTGTGTTAGGAGACCCCCAATTACCCAAACATACCTTAGAAGGAATAAAAAGAACATGAGCTCTGGAAGCGATGTGGATAGTTATTGTCATTGACTTGTAACTGAATGGGTAGGTGGGTAATGCACTAATGCAGTTACTGATAGGAGTAACAGTTACTGATTTGTAACTAAATGAGTATGTGAACAATGCAACTAATAATAGGAGTAAAAGTTACTGATTTGTAACTGAATGAGTGTGTGGACAGTGCAGCTAATAATAAGAGACTTGTAACCGATGCAGTTAATGATAAGCGAGGTGAAAAATATAAAGGGATGGTTATTGTGAGGGGAGTTTTCTTCGTTGTCGTTGCTCGATAGTTGAGTGAGATCGACTCGACTCGAGTTTCGGTAACCTGGTGAGGGCACCGGTTCGAGCTGGTCATTGGATCGGTTATACAACTGAACCGGTTTCGACTGGTTGACTCGGCCGAGTTTCCACTTTTGACAGTGGTTGGGGATCGAACCCAGCCTATGGGAGTGAATAGTGTTACCACTTACCACTAGGCTACCCTCAATTGTTAGTCAAAATGCATCTTACAATATATTTATTATATAATTTAATATAAATTTAATTAAAACGATTGAACCAATGACCCACCGGTTAAACCAATGACACAATATTTCAACCGAGTCAATGACCGGGCCGAGTTTTAAAACACTGGAAAGCCAGAGGATATTTTCTTCTGGAGTTTCTATAGAGATATCAAGCGTAACTCTCTTTCTTATGTAAGCCAATCTCTTCTTGCTATCTAGAAGGGATTAATCAATAAAGATCACTCTTTCCCTATCTTTTTCTTTTTATATTCTTGACCAGTAGCTCACAACTGGTACCAAAACTCCCCTCCAGGGAGTTCTTTTGTGATAGTGAAAAGGATGGATGCACAGATGGAGTCTGATAAGAACCGGATCAAATAACAGTAAAACAGAGGCAAATAACAATATTTTTGCCCAGGAAAGGATCTGGATTTTCTATATATTCGAAAAAGAAAGGAAATTACATAATTCAAATACATTAGCAGTAAAATACTCAAAGCAGAAAAGCTAAGTTGCAGTACATTCGAGAGGTATTGACTCTCCCAATTCCAAGTCCAATATTTCCCAAGCTGCCTTTACACACTACATATTTCCCCTCTTATACTTAGCCTAACCTCCTAGAATATTCTAAAGTTAGTTATGCCACCTTATTGGTAGAACATAAATCCCTACATGCACCTACAAGAGTATATTCTTATCAATACTCCCCCCCCCTCCCCCCCCAAAAAAAAAGACACTCATCTTGCCCTCAAGGTGAGGTTCAGCTCCAAGAACCTTCCACCGGGATCCCATTGGTTGAATTGTAGAAACCCACATGTGCCCGAAGAATGATAATGTCCCCCAGGATCCCATGACTCCTCTGCAACTCCCACAAGATTAGGATTGGTCACGGAGCCTCAATGAGATTTTTTATTCCTTCGACAGCAATAAATGAAGATTTCCTTCTCCACTGCTGCTGAGTACCCAGCCACAATTGTGAATTTGTTGACTGAATTTTGTACACCCTCAATGGGAATCTCAAAAATTTCGAGTAAGCTGACATTGTCTCGGGTTGATGGACCGGTGCTAGGCATCTTTATCATCGTTGTGCAATTCCTAACATCACACTTACTATAATGTATTGAGAGCAATTTGGTCAGAACCCATTAAAAGACCCATATCATTATCTTGGGCTTGGAATGTCTTAAAGTAATTTGGACCCATTAGGTCAACCGCTTGGCTCAACTTGTGTAGTGCATCCCCTAACCTACCTTGCTCCTTTTTCATCTTGTAAGGCCATCACAGCCGTTGTCCTAGTGCAGCATTATTCAAATCTAATGGTTCAAGCGAGAGGCGTGTGTCGACCACCACCTTGTTAGCCACTGCTTCTCTCCAATGGCTTCGGTCTTTTGTTTCGCCTCTATGGTTTGAAACGCTCCTTCATTCTCATGATGCATACAAAAATGACCTCTTCCACTGCCATTGGTCAAACGTTCCAGCTGCTCCTTCTCATAACAACGCAAATCCGGTGGTTCCAGTAAAGGTGGAGGATCAACCCCCATCATTGGAGCCCATAGTGACTTTGGCAATTGCACACGCATCACACCTGCTTCCAAATGCCCTTCTTCTGAATCCTTTTTCAAGAATCCTTGATTTTCCTCTCCTCCTTTCTCTTTTGTTGGCCATTTTAAAAAATCGAAACCACTTATGTTTTCACTAGTTTATCTTTATCGTCACTTTCCTTCTCCAACTTAGAATTTTGTTGATTTTCAAATTCTGGTTTTTGAGATTCACAGCCTTCATCTTCTACCAAATAAATCTCATGAAGATATTTTTCAATGAAAGCTTTTTCAAATTTGTTCCAACTAGCATAAGGATTGAGCCAACTCCAACATTTATACCAGTTAAATGTAAAAGAATACGTTATGTATTGATCTGTGTCAGGGAGTTACAATATATAGAGACCCTAATGGGCTTAAGTGTAAGGCCCAAACCTAATCCTAATACAGTCAGAATACAGTCAGAATATTTACGGATAAGACAGAATCCAATCATATCTAATCATATCATATCTAATATTCTAACACTCCCCCTCAAGCTGGTGCGTATATATTATGAGCACCAAGCTTGTTACAAATGTATTCAACCCGAGGACCTTTAAGAGCTTTAGTGAAAACATCTGCTAGTTGATTAGACGAGTTGACAAAAGCTGTCTTGATTTCTCCTGACTGAATCTTTTCCCGAATGAAGTGACAATCAATCTCTATATGTTTGGTCCTCTCATGAAAAACAGGATTAGAGGATATATGTAGCGCAGCTTGATTATCACAGATGAGTGTCATGGGTTGTTTCTGTTCACAAAGATGAAGCTCCTGAATCAACTGCTTTAACCAGATCAACTCACAGGTAGTATTTGCCATTGCACGATACTCAGCTTCTGCACTAGATCGGGAAACAACAGGTTGTTTCTTGCTTTTCCATGAGATTAAGTTTCCTCCGAAGAAGACACAATAACCAGAAGTAGAGCGTCTGTCCGAGGGTGATCCTGCCCAATCGGCATCTGAGTAACCACAAATTTCTGTATTTCCCCGATCCGAATACAACAAACATTTTCCTGGTGCTCCTTTGATGTATCGGAGGATCCTCACAGCAGCATCCCAATGTGAATCACAAGGGGAATCAAGGAACTGACTAGCCGTACTAACAGCGAAAGAAATATCTGGCCTAGTCACAGTAAGATAATTGAGCTTCTCAATCAGCCTTCGATAACATCCAGGATCAGATAACGGCTCCCCTTGTCTGGGCAATAACTTAACATTCGGATCCATGGGTGTATCGACTGGTTTACACCCCAACATACCAGTCTCTTCTAGGATATCCAAGGCATACTTCCTTTGACAGATAGAAATGCCCTGTCTAGATTGCGCCACCTCAATTCCCAAGAAGTAACGCAGCTTCCCAAGGTCCTTTGTTTGAAATGCACTGAATAAATGTTGTTTTAACTGACGGATTCCGTCTTGATCACTTTCGGTGATGATGATGTCATCA